TAAATGGAAACTAATTGCAGGTAGGAACTAAAGTTGTGAATGGGGAACTAAAGAAACGTCGGACCACATGTGCCATAGGATTGGTCGTAGGAAATGTTTGAGACAATTGTTTGGATGTGTTGGTTTACTCCATCATAGAATTGAAAAAAAATCTCACCTGTTTCATGTGAATCATGTGAAGGTCATGTGACTCATTTGAACCAGACAGACAGAAGACCAGCAAGCAGTCTAGAAGTCTAGAATTAATCAAAGCTTGTCTAAGAATTTAGGCAAATTCTGTAGTCAGAAAAGTTAGATTCATATGATTTTGTGAAGAAGAAGCTGGCCAGATCTGATGGTTGATGTGATCGAAGAAGCTGAGCTTGTCATCTAGAATCACACCAAAATTCTTTGCAGTGTGTCAGCACAGGCAAGTTCTGAAGTCTGTTTTTTCAAGGTATGATGGATCTTCTTTTGGAAAAAAAATGACAGAGTGCCAGTCCGAGATCTTCTGTGACACTTGTGTGTGGATGGAGAGGGGAAAAAAGAAACAGTGGCAAGGTGAGTAGTGTTATCTGATTGCAGAGCCCTCTGATTTAATGTATAAGCAGAATAAAAGTGGACCAAAAACTGACCCCTTTGGACTTCCTGTAGTTGAAACAAAAACTCCATGGTGCATGGAAAAATTGCTCTGGCGAATATGATAAAATGCATTACTAACATCTCCCTTGGACACTGTTGCAACATCTCATATTAGGAAAAAAAAAATATTCTATGTTACAGTGAATAAACAAATCTCTCAACGGTGTGGCCAAAGATGAGTGTAATGATGCATGCTGGTCATAGAAATATGGAAAGATAACACGTATACTCATACATATACACATATATATTATTGGAGAACTGGTGGAGAATATGATATTGCACATAATTTACTGCATGTGTGTGTCTCACTTTGAATTCCTCTACACACTCGAGCATTCCTCCTTAACATAATGATAAATTTCTCAAACTCCTGCTGCAGGTGAGAATTTCTGTGTTCCTGTCTGATCCTGAGCCAGACAGGAATGCAGGAATTTTAATTGGTTTAGTCTGATATGTTGAAAATCACACTTCTCACATACACACACATGCGCACACACATACACACATACACACACACACACAGAGAGAGCAAGTGTAATTGTTTACTACACTTGCAGTTGGAGTGCGATGAAGAGCCTTTAAACAATGAAACAATTTCTCAGATGCTTCAGCGGCTCAGAAGGGTGTCAGATTTATAATCTGTTTATAGGAACAGAAGAAGTTCATAGTGCTGTTGAATTCTCAAATCTGATTGGTCAGAAGTTGTTGATTAATTTTCTACAACAGCTAGTCTGACTGTATATCAATGCCCTTCTTCTAATATGTTATCATTTCTATCGCAACAATGCTCCTCTTAATCAAATACGAATAACAAACCGATTTATAGTGTGTTGTTATTTAATAAAGCAAAATGAACAATCTTTGCTATGGTGAAGTTTTCTGTTAGGACATGTTTATGGAACATTTATGGAAGGAGTCTCCAGTGTCAGCACTTTGTAACAGTCAGAGGAAAAGCTGTAACTTTAGGTTTTCCAACACATCTACAGGACAGAAGAGTTTATGCTTTGGGGTTACTCAGGAACACGACAAGCTGCATTTTTGTTTTCATTTTTTTTATCCTTCAAGAAAGAGAAACCGCAGAGGCTGGTGAGGGAACAACTGTTTATAGCTGCTATAACATAACTGATAAAAGGAACTAGGGTTGTTCATATTGCTGTGGAATAAGAGAAATTTAAAAAAAAAAAAACTATGGGATGTGCTGTTATAGGAAAATAATCAACTTCAGAGTGGTAACTGTAACTCTGCTTCATCAGACCACCATGCTGTGGATTATTTTACTGTAAGAGTACATCCATAACTGTTTTATTCCTCTTCTACCAACAACTAAAATATTTATTTATTAAAGAATGACATATATTTATATCTGTTTATTTATTTAATATTATGAAATGTCCTTGAAACAGGTTAGTAACAATACAGTGCTTTTCTTTATCTGTTTATGTGGAGCAATTTTTTTTTTCTATAGTTGTAACTATAGAAACAATAATGTGTTAGAACAAGTGCATTAATATAAACCTGTGATTTGTGGCTGCAATAGTGTCAGAGATGCTGTTATAGAAAAAACTAATCAACAAAAGCTTTGCCTTGCATCAGACAATAGGAGATAGTCTGAGACAAGGCTTCAATCAATCACATTGATGTTAAACATGTTTGCTAGTCCACTTCCAGAGCCATACTGCTAAAAATCTATGAGCTCACAGCGAGATGTGTACAGATCTATTGTTTATAGCACAAAATACATACATTTCACCTATAATCAAGTTCTGCCTACATACACACCTACGGCGAACCAGCATCAAGGACATTTAAGCTGTAATGTTAGATGCAGTGCTGTGCTTAGATTGCATTAACCTTAATAAACACTAGTAAACACATACCTCTGTTCTTCACATTTTCCCTGCAGCTGTGTGACTGTGTGAGTGTCTAATGGTGTGTAAATCCAGCAGCTGGTGTATGAAATTTCATGTTCAGGGTGATGATATACTTTTGTTATGTATTTATAACCGTCACAAATGTGAAGCTCGCACTAAAAAAAGAGAGAACGTTCATGGTAATAAATTCTCTGCTGGAGAAATGAGAAACTATTTTGTATGTGAAACAATGTGTGAGTTTTGAGTGTAGCTGTTATGGTGTTGAAAGTTGTGTATTTATTACAATGAAATGACTTCAAATCTGTTTTTATCTCCAGCAGCCTGTGAAAAACAGATGTATTAGTGAAACATAATAATATAACAGCGTAACCATGCATTTGAAATCTCGTTATCAGTGCTGTGATCTGTCTGTGCGAGACAACTGAGCGTGCTCCGAAACCCAGAGCTTTGACACCACACACTAATAAATCTACTACAAAGAGGTGATGAAGAACGACTGAACGATGGTAGAAGACGTCGATGGATGGCAGACTAAACGATTTCATGTTGTTATGGGAGATGGATGCAATTTTTACCAGACGCTGTGGGTTCATTTATCTTTTACCACAGTAACACAAAAAACAAAACACTTTTCAATTAGAAATCAATAAAGCAGAAATCAACACAGTGCTGTGGGACTGAAGACTGAAAACAACAATACATTTGTAATTGCTCTTCTGCTTTTTATGCCTCCATTCACCATCCCTTTGTTAATTGGCCCACCAAAGTTTCTCCAGTTTTCTGGGATGTCTGTCATAACTGTGGATTTTATACTGGTCAGTGTAATCCATGTCCCAACTATGTCCTCTAAACTCTAATTGTACTCTCAACCTTCCTTTCTTTCTGAATCATAAACAATGCAAAACAATGTGCATTTTTGTCTGTATAAAGCTAAATAAATTAAAAATTGCTATGAAGAAAATGCGATTGAATAAGCAAAGGCGTCTTTCTGCCTGAGGCTGGAAATAGAGCTCCAAAGTCGGATAAAATGTTCGAGTTCCGTGACCTCGTTCTTGGGTACCAAAGATCACAACGATGCAGGGCTGGTGTTGTTTGAAAGCTTATAATATGGTTGTGTAACCATATCACCTATAATGCGTGTCAGTCATTGTGCTCCAGAGCTATCGGGCCCAGAGTGCTTTCTATATAATTTAATGCTACGGGATGTGCATAGGGACCTCTGGTGTTCAAACAGTGCAACTAAATGTACTCCCAGTCCTCACTGCTAAACCAGTAACCTTATCCTAATACTAACCCTGACCCCTAAACCCTAATTACAATCCAGACTCCAGACCCCAGACTCCAGACCCCAGTACCCTTTTCCTACTCTTAAACATGACCCAGAAAACCTAATTCTTATCCTAACCTTGACCCCCTAAACCATAATCAAAACTTAATCCTAATCTGTACCCTAAATCTTATTCAAATGCCATTCCTGACTCCTAATCTATAATTCTAATCCCAACCCTGACCACTAAACTTTATCCAAACCACAATCTTGACCCTAAAGCCTTATCTTAATCTTATCTCACTGACCTCCCCACTGTTCCAAACTCTCTCATCACCTGTCTGTTTTTTTCACTCTCCTCTGTGTCTGTACAGATGTAAATGTTTATGCATTAGATGTAAATTTCTTTGTTTAATGACGGGGTAATAAAGTGTTGATCTGCCACTAACCCTTTTATTATTTGTTAATAAAAGTGAAGACAGATTCTGTGACATTTCTCTTTTCTGCTCTTGGTTTAATAATAATGAATGAGCTGCTTGAATGGCGAAGCAATATTTCAACACACTCCTGTCGTCTGATTTAACACCTGAATGTGTTCGTCTTACTTTTTCTATGCAAGGATTTAGGACTCAATAAGCAGTAATTTAGTGTGGCAAGTTTTTTAAACCTGGTTTGCTAATTAGCCAGGAGCACACAGCAGTACAATTAGGAAGCCACCAATGTGTCAATGAAAGTTCCAGCCTTGTGATGATTTTCCTGCTGTAAGTTTACCTTTGCAAGACCACTTGGCAAGTCAACAACCGCACCTCTTATCTAAGTAACCGCCATTTTCTGCAAAGCTTTTAGCACATCACTGTTATTCAAAGACATTGCAATCCTTGTTTTATTTACAGGTGCAAACACATCTATGCCACTCAACACAGATTGCATCACTCCTATGTTCTCTGGACTCTGAAAGTACCAGTAGGCTGTGAAGAAATCAGACATATTCCATACCTTTGCCACTCAATTTTTACTTCAAGTCCTAGCACTCACAAAACATGGATCCAAAAATAAAACACAGCAACTCTGGCTGCTCTGACTTATGGTAATTTTTTCCTTCTTTCTCACACCTTACTCAACCAGGCAAGAAGGGGGGACCAGGTTTGCTGAAATTCGCACCTCCCTGTACATTATGCAGCAGCAATTCATTTAAATATCATACAATTACCAACACTGATATGAATTGTATTGACATGGGCAGTGGTGGCTCAGTGGCTTAGGTTTTGGCTACTAGTCAGACGATCGTGAGTTCAAATCTCAACATTGCCAAGCTGCCGCTGACCAAGGCATTAAACCTTCAACTGCTTAGTATAAAAGCAAAAGTCAAATATATATTGTTATTAGATGGGAAACTTTGTTATGGACATCGGCATGCTGCTGTCTTCCATCACAGAAGACAACAATCCACTTATCCTTACCAGCGTGAATGTCCACTGACCTAATGCTTCTTTGCAGAAGAGGAAACCAGCTGGACCACCTCACATTATCACTCCTCTCACAGATCAGATCGACTTTTATTACAACTTCCCCTTTCTGCATTTCTATTTGTCCAGCTCATGTCTCTAGCCTAATTTCCTATCTCTCCACGATGCTGACTCCTGATCCTTTCTACTTTCCTGATTTAAATGAAGGCACAGATACCCTTACAGTGAGGGAAAAAATTATTTGATCCCCTGCTGATTTTGTACGTTTGCACACTGACAAAGAAATGATCAGTCTATAATTTTAATGGTAGGTTTATTTTAACAGTGAGAGACAGAATAACAACAAAAAAATCCAGAAAAACGCATTTCAAAAAAGTTCTAAATTGATTTGCATTTTAATGAGTGAAATAAGTATTTGATCCCCTATCAATCAGCAAGATTTCTGGCTCCCAGGTGTCTTTTATACAGGTAACAAGCTGAGATTAGGAGCACTCTCTTAAAGGGAGTGCTCCTAATCTCAGCTTGTTACCTGTATAAAAGACACCCTTCCACAGAAGCAGTCAATCAATCAGATTCCAAACTCTCTACCATGGCCAAGACCAAAGAGCTGTCCAAGGATGTCAGGGACAAGATTGTAGACCTACACAAGGCTGGAATGGGCTACAAGACCATCGCCAAGCAGCTTGGTGAGAAGGTGACAACAGTTGGTGCGATTATTCTCAAATGGAAGAAACACAAAATAACTGTCAGTCTCCCTCGATCTGGGGCTCCATGCAAGATCTCACCTTGTGGAGTTTCAATGATCATGAGAACGGTGAGGAATCAGCCCAGAACTACACAGGAGGATCTTGTCAATGATCTCAAGGCAGCTGGGACCATAGTCACCAAGAAAACAATTGGTAACACACTACGCCGTGAAGGACTGAAATCCTGCAGCGCCCGCAAGGTCCCCCTGCTCAAGAAAGCACATGTACAGGCCTGTCTGAAGTTTGCCAATGAACATCTGAATGATTCAGACGAGAACTGGGTGAAAGTGTTGTGGTCAGATGATACCAAAATCGAGCTCTTTGGCATCAACTCAACTCGCCGTGTTTGGAGGAGGAGGAATGCTGCCTATGACCCCAAGAACACCATCCCCACCGTCAAACATGGAGGTGGAAACATTATGCTTTGGGGGTGTTTTTCTGCTAAGGGGACAGGACAACTGCACCGCAGCAAAGCGACGATGGACGGGGCCATGTACCATCAAATCTTGGGTGAGAACCTCCTTCCCTCAGCCAGGGCATTGAAAATGGGTCATGGATGGATATTCCAGCATCAAGAAAAAGCACATTAAGGTCCTGGAGTGGCCTAGCCAGTCTCCAGACCTTAATCCCATAGAAAATCTGTGGAGTGAGCTGAAGGTTTGAGTTGCCAAACGTCAGCCTCAAAACCTTAATGACTTGGAGAGGATCTGCAAAGAGGAGTGGGACAAAATCCCTCCTGAGATGTGTGCAAACCTGGTGGCCAACTACAATAAACGTCTGACCTCTGTGATTGCCAACAAGGGTTTTGCCACCAAGTACTAAGTCATGTTTTGTGAAGGGGTCAAATACTTATTTCACTCATTAAAATGCAAATCAATTTATAACTTTTTTTAAATGCGTTTTTCTGGATTTTTTTGTTGTTATTCTGTCTCTCACTGTTCAAATAAACCTACCATTAAAATTATAGACTGATCATTTCTTTGTCAGTGGGCAAACGTACAAAATCAGCAGGGGATCAAATAATTTTTTCCCTCACTGTAGCTTCACATTTTCAACTTACCTTGATAACCTCTGTCCTCTGTTTTCCAGATCAACTTGTGCAGCACCCTCCAATCCCTGGTACTCACTCTGGTGCCTCAGCCTTAGTCCCTGTTTATCTCAGCCTGGATGAAAGATTGCCATGTTCAGTAGAGCATCTCATTAACCCGGCATGTCCTGCAATCCAACACAACATCACCGTCAAGCTTTATATATAGTGGATCCTAAGGGGAAAGCTACCCTTAAGGATCTACCTGAAAACTTGGGGTAACAATCAACAGCCAGTTTGCCTTCCCAAAACATTTTATGGAAATCTCCCAATCTTGCTCTGTATAACATTTGGAAGGTCAGCCCATACCTGCTGGATGAGTCAAAACGCAGCAGTGTATCTGGTCTTCAGTCATCCAAAACTCTACTCCCTGAGGCTGAAATTCACCCAATTAAATGAAGTCAATTGGATCCTGGGAATTTTTAAAAAAAATATCTTTTATTGCAGAAAGAACTGAAAAATGTACCTTATACAATATGCGTTGATAAACAATATTCCTCTTTTGGTTTAACAATTTTCTTTCCCCCACCCACCCCCAGAACAAAAAGATTTCCTTAAAATATCAGTAATATAGACAGTGAGGAAGTAACTAGCAATATTTTTAGCCCAGCCTGTCTGATTGTGATATCCATGCCCATAGGTCTTCTGATTCTACTTATAATTTTAGATTGAGGGGAGAGTTATGCACTTTTCAAAGTATAAATTCATGAGATTCCATACTGAATAAAAATGTTTAGTGGATACTCTAAGTGAATATTTCATTTACTCCAAATTCAAAAACACCATCACATCGCTAAGCCAGAGTGAATTCCAATTCGATTTCGATTTCCAATCAAGTAGTAGTCTTCTCCGGGCCAGGAGACCAGCAAAAGCATAAGCGTCCTGACACTTTTTGGACATGACAACTCCTTCCTCTGGCACTCCAAAAACAGCCAATTCAAAACAAGGCCTGATTTCCTTACTAAATATCTCAGACAAAATTTTGAAGATAGTTGTCCAGAAGTCAGACAGTCTAGGGCAAGCCAAAAACATAAGATCCAAGTCTGCTTTTGCAGAGTGACATCGGTCACATGTGTCATCCAAATGTAAATATATCTTGGACAGCCTTGCCTTGCTGTAGTAGAGTCTGTGAAGGACCTTAAACTGAATTATATCTAGGCAAGTACAAAAGGTTGTTCCATTTCCTCAAGCTAGTGCACCATTCCAGGTTTCCTCTGATATGTCCACTCCTGGCTCCTTTATCCAGTCTACTCGGATTTTTCCAGTTTAATATTTTTTATTGACAGTAAAGTATTATATGCATTAGCAATTACTCCCTCCGAATGTAAGGGAATATTTACAATGACATCCAATCCTGAGCTGGGAAGAATGGAGGGATAGGTGTGACATTGGGTCTGGATTAAATGACAAACTGAATATATCTAAATAAATGACCTTGGAAGGTTATATTTTGAAGTGAGAGTAGAAAATGGAGCAAGAGATTCATCAATGAATGGGTCACTAAATTTGACAAGACCTACTCGGCTCCACTGAAGAAAAGCTGTGTCTAACTGAGCTGGAAGGAATAGATGATTCTTGCATATAGGGCTGCTTGAGGAGAGGTCAAGGAAACCAAAACATTTTCTAATTTGAAACCAAATCTTAAGGGTGTTTGCTACAACTGGACAATGCATATATGTTGAAATAGATAGGGGCAATTTGGATAAAGTAAGAGCTGGGTGGGATGATGATGTACAAGAATTTGCCTCTGAAATACACCAGACATCCTTTGGGTTCTGAAGCCAATAAAGTACTTTTGAAATGTTTGCAGCCCTGAAGTTGAAACCTGAAGTTGGGAAGCGCTAGTCCACCTTGAGTTCTCTGTCTCTGGAGAAATTCCTCCAGTATCCAAGGCATTTTTCCACCCCATATAAATGACAAGATCAGTCTGTCTATATTCTGGAAAAATGACTTTGATTTAAAAAAAAAGGGAGACACTGGAACAGGTACAAGAACCTTGGCAAAATGTTACTTTTTACACACTTAATTCTACCTGCGAGAGAAAGAAAGAGCAAATTCCATTTCCCAAGATCTAGTTTTAGCTTATCAACCAAAGGTACATAGTTCTCTTTGTAAAGCTTAGGGACCCTCTGTGTGATGTTGATCCCTTAATATTTGAAACCCAATGTGGACAGTTGGAAGGGTAGATCAGTATCCATAATCTGAAGGGCCTTAGTGTTTATGAGAAAACATATACTTTTTGAAAAATTCAGTTTGTAGCCTGAAAAAGTTCCAAATTGCTTCAATAACTTCACTACCTGGGGGATGTCATCAGCATATAGGGACACTCTGTGTTCTATGCCCCCACTGTTGATGCCAGTAAAATAGCATGTTTTATTTGTGATTACAGTCACTTGGGGAGAGGAGTGTAATAACTTGATCAAGGAAATAAAATTGGAACCAATTTTGGCCAAAATTTTATCAGCATTTAGAAGGGAAATTGGCCTATAGGAGCTACATTGCAAGGGCTCTTTTCCAGGCTTTAACAGAAGTATGATAGATGCTTCATTCAGAGTTTGTAGCAAGGCACCGTTTCTCAAAGAGTCCTCAAAGATATCAAGAAGAATAGGGGCTAACTTAAGTGAAATTTTTTTAGAAACCGTTTGGGATCCAGAGACTTTCCACCCTGCATTGTTGTGATCGCATTTAATAGTTCTTTTATTTGTATGTGCTTATCCAAATTAATTTTTTGTGCAGAATTAAGAATGGGGAGGTCTATGTTATTTAAAATTTCCAACATTCAGGACTTTCAGAACAATACAAATCTGAAAAGTAGTTCTTAAAGATACTATTGATTTCCATTGGATTGACTATTAATTCACTAGCGCGATTATGAGGTATAAGTTGAGAAGCAGCCTTAGATTTTAACTGATGAGCTTTTTTTTTTACCATGTTAAGATACATAGGCTTTAGAAGGTTATAAATACAGTTATTTTTTATTGGTTGATATCATATTATAGTGAACCTGAAGAT